CCCCATTGGGGACCATAAACTACCTCTCCAAATGGCACAGTGCCCTCAGCTGTCTCCCAGGTGTCTCATTGCCCATCAGCTCCACATCTGCACCAGTGTCTCTCATTTCACCCTTTCAATACAAGCTGTCCTTTTCAGGGTCTGGACTACCAGCCCCAGTGTCAGAGTAGAGGGAGGTGTGTGTTGGTTCAAGGAATTTTGGACCCAGATGGTGAAGCTGCTGGTATTTTGGTCTGTGGGTCGTTTTGGGTGCCTGAAATTCCAGAGCAATGTTTGCTCACTTACTCACCAGCAGCTATTTTCCAAGCCCTCCCTTGTGCCAGGCAGAGGCTTGGGATGAGAGGGCAGAGGTGGCAAGGCCTTGTCATGTGGCCATTAGTATCGATGACTGGGCATTTGCCTTGGCGCAGTCATTTGTTCATTTGTTTCTAATTTCAGCTCATATTTATTGAGTATCCGTCATAGGCCAGGTACTGTTCTGGGCATTGGGCTGGTGGTGAACAGAACAGATAAAGATTCTTCCCTGTGGAGTTACGTTCTCATTGGGGGATAGATGATAATTAATAAAGAGGGTAAAGGAATGTTGGGAAGTAACAGTTGCTATGGAAGAGAAGTAGAAACAGCAGGTTAAGGGGCAGGAGTGTGTGGTGCTTCTGGGTTAAAATAGATCACAATGGGCTTCATGGAGGTGGAGGCGATGGCCTGCTCACGGCTTAGGGTGTGCATGTGCCTGGTATCCTGAGGACCGTCCAGCAGGCAACAGAAGGGAGATGTTGGGAGGTTGCCAGTGTCTGGCAGCAACATGGGGGAACCAGTGGGGGACTTGGAACACAGGGTGGGGGGGTATCAGCTGACCTAGGTTTTTAGATGTTTGCTTTGGCTGCTGTGTAGAGACCAGAGTATAGGGAGCGAGGGTGATTGTAGGACTCCAGGCAAGAGGAATCTGGGAGGCAGTGAATGTGGTGAGAAGTGGCTGGACCCTGGCTTTGTGTGAAGCTGGAGCTAGAAGGTTTTCCAGGTGTGAGGTGTGGGGAGGGTTCAAAGTGAGGACTCCCAGGCCTTTGTCCTGAACACCTGGGAGGCTGGAGCAACTGTCAGCCAGGATAAGGATGGCTTTTTGTGGCCAATCAGTAGGTGTGAAGCACCTGGACATCCAAGGGGAGGCAGGAAAGATCTGTGTGTCAGGAGTTTAGAAGAGACAGCTGGGCTGGAAGTTCAAGAGAGCAAGTGTAGGTGGACCAGGCCTGAGCTCTGGGGCCACCCCCAGTAAGAGGATGGGGGAAAAGGAGGCACTGGCACAGGACACAGGGGAGGATTGAAGGGGAGGCTGAGAGCTCAAGTCCTGGTTTGAGGAAAGAGCCAGCTGTGGAGGACAAGAGCACACAGGTTGGCTGCATGTGCTGATGGGTCAAGGGAGGTGAGGGCAGTTGCTTTTTTTAAATAATTCAGTGTCACCTCTAACACTGGTGACCATGACAAGAACAGGCCAGTAGACTGCCTGGGGTAAAGCATGCTTGCAGAGCATTGGAGAGAGACCAGGAGCAGAGGAATTAGAGAAGGCAAATGGAGAAAGTCTTTCTGGGAGGTTGGCTGCAAATGGGGGACAGGGGAAGGTGAGAGATGATGCCTTCGAGGTGGAATGAGGGTCTTTATCAGTATTCAGTGCAGGGTTGTTTGCAGAGCACCTGATATGTTCCAGGGGCTGTATGCTAGGTGCTGTGCTCCCATTTGACCTCCTGTGTCACATGGGACGTAGTTGCTGAGTGCAGCCTGCTGGGAATCATGAAGAAAGAGCCAGGTTTGGCCCTGCTACTACACTGTGCCAAGTGTGTGTGACCCCTGCTTTCTCCCGTCTTCACTTGGGATATAATAAATAGCTAAATCAGAATACTTGCTTTTCCCGCCAGGCCTCTACTCCTCTCTCCTGTCTCCCCCACTGTGTTTATTTCTTCTTGCTGTGGGAACACATGCCAGGAACTTAGTGCCTTAAAACAGCATCAGTCCTGGCTGGGGGCGTGACTCAAGTGGTAGAACACCTGCCTAGCAAGCACAAGGCCCTGAGTTCAAACCCCAGAGCCACCAAAAAAACTCAAAAACAAAACAAAAATGCCATCACCCCCCCAAAAAACCCCAGTAGGTTTGAAGGTAGGAAGTACAACACAGGTCTCACTGGGCTAAAACTGAACGTGGCAGGACTCTGTTCCTGTAAAGCCTCTAGGGGGAGAAACCCATCTCGAACACTCGGGTGTTCACAGAAGTCAATTCCAAGTAGTCATAGAATGAAGGTCTCCACTTTCTGGATTACTCTCAGCCAGCCCCCTTAGCTCCTGGAGGGCTCCCTCCATCTCTGAGCCCGGTCCCTACCTCCCAGAACCTCGGTGACACACATGGTGTCCTTCTCATGCTTGGACCCTATCTCGCCCATCTGCTGTATCTTCTGTCTTCCTTCTCTGCCCCCTCAAACGAACATTCTCTGCTTTCAAGGCTCATGTGGTTAGAAGGTAATCCAGGGTACCCTCCCTGTCAGGTCTGTAACCCTCATCACCTGTGCAAATCGCTTTTGTTGTGTTTTTGTTCCTAGATACAATTAGGATTTTCAGGGAAGTTTTCAAGGCTACAGATGTCTCTGTGGGCTTTTTAAAATAGCTTCTGGTTTGTCATTTGTTACCACACTGTTCCAAATATGTCAAGGTCTCTCTCTCATGTGGGAAAAAATGCCTCCACCTTGCAGGTGTCCATGGGCATCAATTGGCATGCAGTGTGATTGTGGCTAGCCACCTGGTCTGTGCTGTCTTTGAGGGACCATCGTTGGCTCTGCTGGTGAAGGTAGAGCCCTTCTCCTGCCCTCCTCCAACAGTTATGCTGGGTGGTATGGCACCACCCCCACATGAGGCTCCAACAACTGGCTTTTTTTTTGAGGTCTAATCTTATTTGTGTGCTGCGCTTAACAATTCTTACTTTGAACTGGACTCCAACCAGGAAGTGAAAGCTCCCATAGGGGACAGCCTGAGTCTTGAGCAATCTGTGCCTGTGTTTTTTGGCATCTTTCATTCTCTTGACCAAAAGTTTGGCATATTCTGTAGCCTTTCCTTATTTTCTTAGTGTACTATTTCTTCAGACCAGTTTATAGGACATGAAGACAGACAGAGGCAGAATCTTGGTTGCCTTGGTTCTGGATTTCTCACCTTTGTTGAGTGGCTTTCCAAAAGAGAGATTGGAAAGGTGGTGGCTGATTTACTCACTCCTTCAGGCCCCAGGCAGCTAGGCACAGTATTATCAGTGTGTGAGTGTGGGGACACCTGGTTTCCTTTCAATTAATTACTAATTTTTTTTTTGGGGGGTCACTGGTTTGAACTCAGGGTCTCATGCTTGCTAGGCAGGTACTCTTACTGCTTGAGCCACTCTACCAACCCTTTTTTGTGATTGGTTTTTCAAGATAGGGTCTTGAGAACTATTTGCCTGGGACTGGCTTCTAAACACCATCCTTCTAATCTCTGCTTTCTGTGTTACTTTTTTTTTTTGGTGGTATGGGGTTTGAACTCAGGGCTTCATGCTTGCTAGGCAGGTGCTCTACCACTTAACCCCACTATCAGCCCTAATTTCTGCTTCCTGAGTAGCTAGGATTATATGTGTGAGCCACTGTTGCCCTGCTAATTACTTACTTATTTATTTTTACAATAACTAAGTTGAGAGTGCTCAACTTGGCCTCTGCAATGCAGTCAAGTCAGCTTTGCACTTTCTTTCTCCAGGTCCCATTGGACAGTAGCAGGAATCCCTTCAGTAGCAAGCAGACATAGCTGTGGGACAAGACCCTTGCTTCATGTAAACCTTATTTGTTGTTTCTGCCACATATTTGGATCACTTAACCCTTCCACCAGCCACAAGTCCTGTGGCCACATGCATCTGTTGCAAAATAGGAAATATGCACTCATTGTCCTCTTCAGTGAGTTTCTGATAGCCTGAGGCTGAGGAGAGCTCCATCTTATCTCAGTGCACTGATTATTTATGAGGCATCACAAAACAGAGGTCTGACATCCCCCGAAACAGGATGCATACACAACAACTTTGCTACGAGCTGTGAGGAGGGTTCCATGCCTGCATGGCCCTCAGAGGAGTACTTGGAATACTTGCAATTCTTCCTAATTTGTCGCTTCCTGCACCGGTCCTCAAACTGCAGTGTGCATAGGACTCACCCTCAGTATTTATTAAAATGCAGATTCCTGGACCTTGGCTCAGACCCATGAATTAATTTCTGGTGGCTTTGACCAAGAATTAGCAGGCATTTTTACAGGCTTCCCCTCCCATCCCATCTCTCCCCCAGTGATTTTGATGAGAGTGGTCATGGTCCCCCGTAGGGCCACACTGATGTAATGGACTGCTGCAGCCAGGTCATCACCGTGTGGCTATGCCTGCTGTCATGTTTGACTCCCTCTCACAAGCAGCCTTCACCTCCTGCCCCCTGCAGCAACAGCTTTGCCTTGTGACTGCAGCGTTCAGCCTTGGCTCCTCCTGATGACTGTTCACCCTCCCCTGTTCTCTCCTGTCTCCTTGGAGGCAGCTGCCACATTGAGGCTTCTTGCATGCTGCATTGTGACGCCTTTTTTTCTTTCCACTGTGACCTGACCCTGTGGTGTTTCTTGAGAATTCATAAGGGAAGTGAGCTTTCAACATGATTTCTAAACCTCTTTTTTTCCCCTCTTGAAGCATTAGACTTTGCCATGACCTTGAGTTTCAGGGATGATAATTTTTCTTTTCCCTGCCTGTGCTATAGGCATCCCTATTTCAGCCTTGATGTTGTTCTCCTTAAAGGTCCTTGGAACAGGAACAGATTTCAGATTTTCCACATTGTGTAAAATTTTTAAAAAACCTTTCCTCTTAACAAAAACCATCTTTTTGTCCTTAATCTTGTGCATTGCAGGCTTTCCTTTTTTTTTTTCATGACTGTTCATTATGAGAAACATTTTATCTAGGAGTAATTTCTAAGGCAGCATCTTGAGTTTCTATAAAGATGAGACCTTCATCTCAGAAGAAGGGGTATCAACAAGAGGACCAGAATCCTCTGTTTCCAAGTGCAGTGGAGTCTCTTGCTCGTAGATCAGGTTTGAACTGTCTTTCATTTGAGTCTCTTGCTCTTCCAACTTCAAAAGTTTTTCAGGGCCTGGAACTATACCTTCATCTTCATTTTCATGAACAAAGCTACAAGTCATCTTTGGTCTATAGGAAAAGTCGTTCTCCTTCATTTGCAGCCATTCTACTGTATTTTCCTTTCTTTTCTGTATTTTCTCCTTTCTTTTCTGTCAGGAGAGTTCTTCTCACGCTGAGCCTCATTGTATGGCGTGTGTATTTTAATAGTGTTTTATCACTGCCTTCTGCATCCACATGTCCTGCGTTTTCTTCAAAATAAGTATCTTCGTATTCCCCAGCAAAGACATAGCTGTCCCCTTGAAGAATGGGCCTCTCAGTGTCAATTCCCAAAATCTTGCATTTATTTTTGCATTTTGAGAGAAAATCTGAGTCAATAATTCCTGAGAGTTCCACGAGAACGAACTGCTCCTGGTGGAAGAGAAAAGGGTTAACACGCTGGCCCACAGGATCTGCACCGTTGAACCCTGCTCTCGCCAGGGCAGGAAGCTGCGAGATGTCGGGTTTTCCTTGATTGGGTTTGTACCTTGGCTTTGGGCTTCCTTTCCTGGCTGCTCGTGGTTCTTGCTGGTTCTTCCTGTTGGCTAGAAGAGTGTCTTTGTGAAACACAGATCTGTGCCTATGACTAGTGCTCAACTTCTGAGTTTCTCATTTCCCTTACATTGGGCGGGGTTACTGTTCAGCTATCCAGTCCTCAGATGACTTGGGAGCTTGTCTTTCTTTCAGCATTCTGGTCTCTCTTTCCTGCTTTTTTTCTCTGGGCTTCCTCAGCCAGTCCTCCCTCTATGTCTCCTTCCCCACCAAGGACTGTGGGTTCTGAGCTCAGGTTTGTGCATTTGCTTCCTGTCATGCTTGCTCTGGTTCTTGTTTTAAAAAATGAGCTGTGGTGGACTTGGAGAGTCTTCTGCTTGGCTCAATGAGTGAGGAGGCTGAGACCCACAGAGACGATGTGGGTGGTCAAGGCCACAGGATATTTCCTGGAAATTTGCCAGTTACAGAATTTAAACGGTGTCTCCTTTGGCCCAGCAGTTCCATTCCCAGGAGTCCATCACAGAGAAATATTTACCTGTGTGCACAAATAGGCAGGTGCAGGGCTGTGGATTGTAGCACTATTTGAATTGGGATCAGTAAAGGACTTTTGGAGTAGATTGTGGTTCTTTCTGTGATGCAACTGTGACAAAGAAGTTCTTGCTGTGTGCGCTGGCAGATAAGGCCGTAAGAGTGCATTACTATGTGCGTGTTGTACATCCAGGCATGCGTGGCCTGGGGTAACCCTGGGTCAGTGCTGAGGAGAAGGGCTCTGGGGGTGGAAAGGTGGAGGTGAAGGGTGGTCTGTGCTTCTGTGTTGTGTACCTAGGATTGAATTTGTAAAATACAGATTGATTTTACAAGCTGTAAAATTGAACTGTTCTAAGAGTCCAATTTAGTGGCTTGGTTTTTGGTGTCATCACAAAATTGTGCAACCCTCACCACTGTGTAATGCCAGATGATATTTTTGTACTCTTGTACCAATCAGCCCGTCACCCCCCACCCCTCTCACCCTTCCCATCCTGCTGTGGAGCAGCTCCTGTTCTCTGGAGTTTTTTTTAAGATAGTAGACTCAGCTCCCTTGCCTGTAGGCAGGGACCAAAGACAACACATCAGAGCTTAGGATAGTGCCCAGTACCTGGTCCGAGTCCACTTACTGCTGACCACCTGAGTGCCAGGTCCTCTCTTGTCATTGTCGTCCTCTTTTTCAGCAATGGTATGGGCCAAGTGAGAGCATACTTTGGGAGACTATGAGCTTCCTAGAAATAAAATGGGTTCATATGATGTGTGTGCTGGGTTGGGACTTACACCTGTACCTGTTCCTTGATTTGCAGGCATCTGGCTTATGTACAACTGGGGTCTAAAAATGTAAAAATAAATTTTTTTCCTGCAGTGAACATGTTACTTACATACTTTTAGAAAACAAACTTCTATTTATTTTTATATTTTATTATACTTATTTGTTTATTTTATTTTAATTTTTTGAGGCCGGCCTCAAACTAGCAAATCACGTGCCTCAGCTCCCTGAGTTCTGGGATTACAGATATGTGCCTTCTTAAAGAATAAAACCAGAACAGAAGTGCTCATTTGCTGTGAGCAAATGTGTCTGTGAGAATGACACATGCTGTCTGTGTTGACCAGTTTCTTGTTAGGTTGATGCATTAAGGCTCAAGTTAGGTGTTAGTCAGTAATCAAATCAGGAAGTATTGAGAAACTCTAATCTGTGCCTCATCTGAGTCACTGTCTCACCTAGGTAGATAGTCAAGGTCAGCCACTGACGTGGTAATTACTGTCACATTACTGTGTTCCCAGCATGCTTTCTGCTCCAGGGTCCTGTTGGTTGTGTCACCCTTTTCCTTTTTGATTCCTCCATTACCTTCCACTCTGGTGCATCATCCCTTTGTACCCAGCCCAGCCGAGACTGGGGCCAGGGCAGCTAAGCCCTCTGCAGAAAGTTGCTGAGCTGGAATTTGAACCCAGACCTGTTTGGCTCCAGCCCTTATGCCTTTTTTCCTGTTGTGTTTGCCTCATTCTGTTGTGTCATTTTTTAGCTGCACCAAATCTAAACTGCTTGTGGTAGGAACAGAGTCCCGGATTGAAGCAGTCAGAGAAATCCTCTCCACAGGCATTCCTGGGTCTTTTCTCCAGGGCAAGATTTACTGTAATTTCCCATGGAAGTTCTTGCTTCCCATAAACCCAGGGGTTATACATGCACAATTTCTGCCTCTGATATGTGTGGCTCTGCTGCTTTAAAATCAAACTTCATAAGCTACACATGCTTATTGTACCGCATAAAATCTACCCATAGGTTTAGAAGGAAAATACTTATTATCCACTGTTTCCCTCATTCTAGGGCAACAGGTTTAACAATGCAGGTGTGCCCTTTGTGCTCAGATGGCCATGTACACATCTAATGCTGTCCCTCCTCTGAAATAGAAATATACTACATGTGTTTCTGTTACTAGGTTATTTTGGAGCCTAGATACCTCTGCAGATTGGAGTGAGCTGTTTTAAAAACATGTGAAGCCATCCTTGCCCCTTGTCCCTTCACTGCCAGGCTGACCTGCCACGGACCTGTATAATGCAACTGGCCCAGAATTCTGCTCAGCAGACTCTTGTACACAGCTTGGATCAGGGCAAGAAATAACTCTGTCCAGTACACCTATTGGAATGTTTTATTCCAGCAAAGTGGTTTTCATCGTCAAACTGCTTTTCACTTAGGAGAACACATGCCGCTAAAGCTTCCGACAGAGCCTCTGTTAGGCCACATCACATGAGCAGGTGAAAATGTGTTGGGTGAAGGGTGTGATGACAGTTCTGGCTTTGCAGCAGGTTTTCCCAGATATCCTTGTGCAGGCAGTATATATTTAGCTGGTCTCCTGGAAAAGAAACATGGCATTTAAGCAGGTGAGCAGATTTCTCTGGAAGGACTGTCAGAGATGGAAACTTCTGGTGGAGAGGCATTTTGATTGGAAAAAGAAGGCAGGCTTTCACTTTGCATTAGTCTTTTTAGGATTAGCCTCTCTTTAATAATTGGAGCAAGAATATAATGTAGTTTCTATTCTTCTCATGTTTAGTTCTCACAATAGGTATTCCTGTTTTAAGACGAGGAAACTGAGGCTCAGAGAAATGAAGTAATATGTCTAGGGGCTCATGCTAGTTAGTATAAACACTTTACTTCTACACTTACTCATCACATTCTCCTTCTGACCCTGGATGTATGTGGTGTTCTCCTGCACTGGGCAGTGCCAGCTGGCGTCCTGTAATCCGGTCCTGACAGCAACCAGATTTAGCAGAGAGCCTGCAGGTTCAGGCCTCAGTCCCACGAGGCTGCTCTATACTTCAGATGTCACTTGCCAGTCCCAGGTTGTGACCCATGCTTTAGCCAACCTGCCAGAAGTGAGAGATATCCACCACTCCTCCCTAGTTTAGTCTTTGGCTGGAATTCAGGAAAGTGCTTCACTTACTGTCATCCATTAATTACAAAGCATACAGCCAGGAACAGCAGGTGGAAGAGCTGCAGAGGGTGAGGATGGGGAAGGGTCTGGGACCCAGAAGACTTTGGAATGGTGTTGAACTTTCCTCCTGCCTCAGGGCAGCAATTTTTAACCAGCGCTGTGACTTTTTGTCTGTTCTGTGCCACTTTTTTTCCAAGTGCTGGGGCTTGGCCCCTTGGGGATCTCTCGGTCCAGTACACACTTCTTACTAGGGGGACTCCCTTCTCTGAGGTAGAAACTAGCTGAATAGCAGTGAGGCAGAAGCTCCTCTGGGGGCTGCCAGGGACTCACTTCCTGACTGACACCTGGCTTCTGTGCAGCTAGAACTGAGCAGGGGACTGGTGACTAGGTCGAGTTTCCTCCTGGCTGCATTGTGAGCCTGGAATGAGGAGTCACACCCTTCACTTTGGACTAATTCTCCTTAGCTCTTGGCCTTGGGAACCTCACGTAGACTCTTCCCTGCTGACCCACTGGGGAGCTAGTGCTGTGGGGAAGGTGTGGACCCAGACTTCATTGCTGGTCCTGCCAGTCCACAGCTGCCTGACCTTGAGCAACTCAACCCTGAGGGCTCTCAGTTCCTGGAGGCAGTAACATCTCCCTTGCATGTTTAGTGTGAGAACAAGAAATAGTATCTAGCTCTGGCCTGGAGAGGAGGACTCACTATTAAAAACTGAGCACAGGCCTGGCCTCAGAGCTCCTAGCGACTGCATGCAGTGCTGGGATGTGAGTCGTCTTCTGATCTGGGGCAGGACTGTGACTGTTCCTCCTGGCAGCACAAGGAAGCAGCTTTCCAACGTTGGGTGTTTGTACCTGTCCTGTGACTTCTATCTTTGTACTCTTGGATCCTAATTTAAATGCCCAACCCTAGTATCGGGCCTAACCTCCAGCTTCATTTGTTCTCCTGCACGTGTGCCATTGTTTCTCAGATGGTGGGTGAAGCCTGGCTTGTCTGAGAATGACACTCCTCATCCCTATTCACCACCTGCCTCTCAACTTCCAGCTCTGTGAAATGACTGCTCCGCTCCTTCCTTCAATTAAACCTCACATCTCATTTGTCAGCAAGCCTTGTCTTGCTGACAAGCAGCTTCTCACACCTGCTGCTCTTCTGGACAGTGGCAGTAACCTCATGAGAATGAGTTAGGGTGTGTGGAAAGATACCATGGGAGAGGAAGGGCAGTGGGCAGGAAGGCCTCAGACCTGCTGCAGAACTGACAGGAGCTGCCCACCTCACCCAGAGGGAGCCCTGTACAGATTGCCCAGGAGACTGCCGGGATCACACAGAGATTCCTCTATCTGCTCTGCTGCTGGTGAGGGCCGCCTGGGAAGAGCAGCACCGAGGGTGCAGGAGCCAGAAGCTGTCGGCTAATCGCCCTGCAGTGGAATGGCAAGCTCTGATTGAAGGGACAGCCAAGCTGCATGGCTCCTTTGCTACCACATCCCCCTTCCTATAGCTGGTGGAATAATCTTTAAGACAAGCCTCATCAGCCCATCTTTTGTTCACAGTCTTCCAGAGATGCCCCTTTTTGTTCAGAATAAAATAGCCTGCAAACCCTCGCCTTCCCTCTTTTAGTCTTGCTTTTATCTATCTCTCCTTCATTCGTTGTCCCTCACCACATTGGTCTCCTTGCTATTCTCAGAACATACTAAGCTGGTGTCTATCTTTGCACATGCTGTTCCCTAGACTACTTTCTCCCAGGGCTCTGCATGGCTTATTCCCCTGCTTTATTCTGGTCTGGGCTCAGACAGTACCTCTCCACTGAGGCCTTATGTGTTAACCTTATTTAGTTAACATACTTCCACCACCATGATTACTCTTTACCTCCCTTAGCACTTCTCATAACCTGACATGTTAAATTGCTACTTCTTTATTTTCTGACCCTACTTCCCCAAATGTAAGCTTCATGCTGGCGTCTGATTTGTTTTTCTTCTTAATACACCCCTGAATCTCTAGTGTTTGGCTCTTAGCACACAATAAATTTTCCATAGCTCACTGTGGTGCAAATACATAAACTGTGTGTGTCTGGTTGCAGAGACCTGCTGCCTCAGCACTGTGCACTCCCCTGGTTACCTCGAGCACTTGGAAGATGGGGGATGTTACTATTAGGAAGACTGTTGGCTTTGCCAACAGGGACTTGCTGTCTCAGGGTCATTGCCTCCTCTGGAAGCTCATTATGTCCCAGATCTTCCTCCCCCCACCACCTGTCAGGACGTCTAGGAGACCAGCTCTGAGTTAGAAGTGCTGCTGCTTCTGCTCTCACACTGTTTGCATCTGCGTCACACCAAGCTCCTTCAGATTGAAAGCAAAACCTATCACACTGTTGGCCAGGCAGCTCTCCGTGGTGTTTCAGATTTTGTTTAAAATAATCCAGGCAGAAACCCCATGTGCACTCTGGGTCCTGCTAGGAGACCAGCAAGGGTCTACTTACTTCAGATGACTTATGCCAGATGCCCCCAAACAGATTGTGCAGGCTGCAGTCAGGTGAAAATTGTAATGGTCCCTAAGTTGGAGCGATCTGCTAATGGTGCTGAGTAACCCACAGCTTTGCTGGAACGTGACAGAAAGTTCTGATGTGAAGCAAATGTCTTCATGCTTCTACCAAACACAGTGTCAGTATGCAACAATTTGAATTTAAAAAGAGGAGGCTTATTCTTTTTGCCAAATCATTCTTTTTTAAATTTGGATCTGACTCGTGTAATTATTCTACCATGAAAATACAGGAGGAAATTGCCGAGTACTGAGAGGGCAGGGGTTAGTGTCCTCCGAATACCGTGGGTGTAAACCAGGTGGATTGGGCCAAGGCGGAGTCTGTGGTAGACACAGGAAGGACACATGGTCACGTTTGTCATAGATTAGAATGGCCTGTGAGCCATGTTGAGGAGCCGGTGAGATTATTCATTTAAAATGCACTTAACCCCCAAGTGCTATGTGAATTGGAGTGGTATCATTCTTTCATTTCCTGAGAACCCATTGAATGAGGATAGAGGTTTCAAATTTGGTTAGTACGTTAAATACAGTCTGATTTATCCTTTTCTTTTGACCATCTTTGTCTTGGCCTTTTTGGCACTGCTTGGGTTTCTGATGAAAAGTGGAGCTGTCCAACCACATAGATGAAAGTTTCTGTCTGTGTTGCCGTATGCCAGCAGCTGTACCTCTTATTGCATCCTTCACCAGGGCAAAATGGGAATTTGTGAATACTAGTAAAGTCATTCAGAATGTGGAGTGAAATTGTTAATGGGCAGATTGTAGGTTTCAGATTATATTTCTCACCAGTGTTTCAAAGCCTTGTGTTCTTGAATTCAGAGTGAGCTATTATTAACATGAAACGAGAAGAGTGCTCTGCTCCTCAGATAGTAAATCTCCATTCTTTCCATTTCAAAACCAGCAACTCACCCCCA